GGAGAGCCTCCAAAGTATACCTGCAAATATTGAAGCTTGGCCCACTGCTGCTTATTGGGGAATACTGGTGCTCAGATACCCCTTAAAAAGTGCATTATTTTAAGGACACTCCAATGCCACTGAAATCTGGGAAAATGCTCATCTGTTTCATTTCAGGCAAGAGTTTACTTCCATCCAGAAACAAACTGGTGATCAGAGTTTAATCACCAACCTCTGGTTCATTAGACAATCCACTACCACGCTCTCTCTCTTCCTATCAACCTACCTACCTGTTATCCTTTTAAGCCTAAACAGTCCACTAACTTTGCATTCAATCTCAATGATTTTACCATGGAAAAAAACTGGGTGGGAAAATGTTTTCCTCTCCCATAAAAATTTCAGATGTCCAGAAGTTCTGCAAGAGAGACTTTATCATCTGCATTTTCTTTCTTTTTACAAAAACCTGAGAATGACCTCTCTAGAGCAGCACAGGGGCAGGGTATTCACCTGAATCATGTGTGATCCAGGTTCAAGCCCCTGCTCTACCACTACCCTGCATTTTAAATGAGTGCTCTAAACATGAAGCAGTTGGCTTTTCTGTTCTTTTGGAGCTGTTCCACTTTGTAAAAATAATACAACATTGATATACCAGATACTTGAACCTGTGTGTCCCACATCTTGTGCCCTCTGACCAGAAACTCCTTCCTGGACTCAAAAAACTTCCTGGCCAAAACTGCACTGAAACATACTTGCCCCCCTAAAAAATAATTGAAAAAATTCCTGATCAGCTTTCTGGGAGCTGCCTTTTGGGTCTATCACATGCAGATATAATAGTACTATTAATAAGTTACAACTCCAGAGGGAAGATTGGCTATTAAACCAGTCCATTACCATTATCAATACCATTATTCAGATTATGAAACATTTTGAATGTTTTCAGGACTGGGCAGGATTATAACAGATCCCTCAAGCTTCACAAGAAACAACGTATTTTTTTTCTGAGATTCCTAGCAAGCCACTAATTATAAGGGTAAATCCTGCCAATTTCAAGTTTAGCCACGTGATGCAAAACACTGCCATAAAGGTCAGTAGGATTAAATCCTACGTGCTTGTTTTTCCATAGATTCTGTGAAACAAAATAATGTTAAAAACGTAAGATGGAATGCACAGAAGTAGTCCCTGGCCATTTAGATAGCACTTTCCTAGTAATGTCCAACCTGTAATCTGCAGTCTTTGAAATGGATTACATTGAAGAGGAACACCATTTATATTGGTAGCAGGTCCAGAAAGATAACTACTATCCCTCATGCAAATTAGTTTGGGAAGGAGCAAAGCTTGGAGGAGCTGTACTATCTTCCCATCATGGACTTTTTTCCCATTATGGAAATCATTAAATAACTTAGTGGAAAGCCTGCTGGCATCTACTAGCAAGGGAAGCCTTAATGTACAGGCCTTCAGGAAGATGATTCTGATTTCCTAACGATTATGGTGTCTCCCTGAAAAATCCAGGATAATACTTAGATACCAACACTGTATCTCTTTTGCTGGAAAGAATTGACAGGACAGTTCCTGCCTGACCACAGGGCCATGAATGACTCCTTAAAGGGATCTCCAGCAAGATTGCCTCCCCTTCAGGCACTTCCCATAGGAAATGGGAAGGAAGGGGGTTGGTCCAGCTCTGGATTAAGCACTTGATTGCTCTTCCATGGATTCAGGTGTTCACAATCAATTCATTTCAGACTTTGCCTGTGTAGTAGATTGGTTTCATCAGCTGTTTCTTTCTTGTTTCGTGTTACAAATACGAATGTGAATTTACGACTTCATGCCAAATTCTAATCCCATTAACACTGATATAATTCTAGAGTAATTCCACTAAAGTCATTGGTGTTTCTATGAATTTATGGTGATGAGTCAGATACCTTGGCCAGAGGTTCCAGATCCAGGGACCTAAAATTAATCTTCCAAATTCACATTTAGCTCCTTGAATAGCTCTGATTTTTTTTTTACAAGTGCTTAGTGATCCATAGATACCACAGGCTTCTGGTATTTGCAAACAATGAAATTTTCTGAGACAGTCATTACTACTCAAATGCTTAAATAGGACATTAGCTAACTAAATTTAGACACAAAAGGTTTACCTGTTCAACTTTCATCTTTACATTTGTCATCTCTTGCACTCACTGGCTATAGTAAAATCTTCCTTTGACAACAGAGTCATCTTTTGCATACTTTTGGAGCATTTGGGGAATGCTCCCCATAGGGAATATTGAACCAACTCCATTATTCATTCCCTTTCCATCGATCCAGGTGTTCACAATCAATTTATTTCAGACCCTGCCTGTGTAGTAGGTATGTTTCAACAGCTGATGAAACATAGCAATGGTAAAATATGAAATGGTTCAGATCTTTTGTTCAATTAATTACCACTTTATTTTAGGTCTGTTACTTTACCTATTATATTCTTGAATGAAGTTTAAAAAACACAGGTTTTCCTTCCTCTACATCAAAAAGAACACTAAGTTCAAGTAATAACACCTCCCTATGTAGTAATTAATTAAAGAATAAAAATATTCCACAAGACTGTTCCTACTTTAAAAAAACCATAACAATTTATAAAGCTAGATCACTATCACCACCACTTCACTGGGATGAGTCTTCTATATTCCTTGGATTTATTTTTGTCACTGAAATTTCTTCTTAAATCATTGTTGCTGACAAGCTCAGTTATTTTCTTCCCCCATGGCTGCTCTACCAAAGAGAAGTCTCCACATTTTGCCTGTTGCTACACTACCAATACTATCTTTGACTTTCAGTCTAATGCTGTCTAAATCTAGTCTACTTTAAAGAATACAAATATTCTAGCCACATTCCTAATTTGCAAGTATTTTATATTTTAAAAATAATTTACTATTTAACTTATGTTCTCAGCTTACTGTCAGAGGTAGCCTGAACTCAAATCATAGAATCATAGAAAATAAGGGTTGGAAGGGATCTCAGGAAGTCCATCTAGTCCAACTCCCTGCTTAAAGCAGGACCATCCCCAACTAAATCGTTCGAGTCAGGACTTTGTCAAGCTGGACCTTAAAAACCTCCAAGGATGGAGATTCCACCACCTGAGCAAACAAATCATACTTGTACTAAACCATGATATGAACCAGCAATGGTTCAAAATTAAAGTGATTTTTCCTTATCCCCACAGCTTAAGTAGTTTCTATAAAACCCTGTCTTACAGTACTGTGTTACAGAAAATGCATCTGAATCTCTAGCAACTCAGACAACAATTTACAAGGCAATTCAAGGGGCAAGAAAGAGAAATTAAGATGGGGGATTGGTGGGGGGGACCTTTCTAACCTCCTATGATAGCAATTCAGTTCCCTCTTCTCTTGAGCAGGGACATATTTATAGACACACTATAACACCGTGAGTCAGAAGAATGCATTAAAAATACATCTTTCTTTAGAAACATTGCTGTGTTTTGTAATTGCTGAAGGATAAGGTAATTAGCTGTTTATCAATTTAAAGGTGAAGCAGATGCTTCTGTTGTTTGGCATTCTGTGCTTCACCTGAAGAAATATAACCAACTGTTTCACTCTTCTATATGCTACTGTCAAGTGTTACCAGTACAGATAATTTGTTCCAGGTTTCCTGGCCAAATCTCCTAGTTTTATTGTAAATCCAATTTTCTTGGATTCTTTCCTGACCTTTAAGAGTTTTCAGATTAAGAGAATATAAGCATCAAACACACAAAACCATAGACAAGCCAGCGGGCAAAGAACTGGCGCTCAAACTGAGACAATAGTTTAAAAACCCAAAGCCTCTACTCAATACACTTAAATAACAGAACTGTTCTTTAATATTTGTATTACTATTGTGCCAACAGGTCCATGTCCCAATCAGAAACTCATTGGCTAAGTATTGAAAAGAACAAAGGAAGACTTGGTCTCTTTTTGAAGAGTTTACAATATTTTAGACAGATACAGCAAAACCCTTTCTTGTTGCCACTCCCAAATTTCTGTGCATGGATGAGTTTTAACCTATAGAAAACAAAGAACACCCACAGTCTACACATTCAAACCTGAAATATGCACACCGATGGAATAACCAAAGCCTATGACTCACCTATATCAACATCAAGTTATGAACGTCTAATTTATAGTCTAGCAACCAGACTGCAAAGCCAGACGAGCAAAAACCAGATTTTCCTGGAAGATAAAGGATCAAGTCTCAAGTTGCTGAGCTAGAAGCAACGTTTATTGAACAGATTTTTATGAATAGGTCCATCATGGTCAAATAGGAGCCACAGGTATCAGACATAGGAAACATTAGGTTGCATACTTTTCTATATTTCTGCCTCCCTAGACTGCATATACATGCTAAGGATGAACTTTCCACTAGAGTTCCAACAGAAGATTGAAGGAGAATAGTATCCTCCCATTGATTTAGAGCACAACCCTGGAGACTTGATGAAGTGGTGTAAAAAAAACCCCACCACACTAACACAGTTAAACCTGATCTTGGTACAGAATTAAAAAAGCATAAAAGTCAGGTTTCATGCCTGCATTTTTAAAGCAGGAAGTATATAAGAATGAAAAAACTTGGGTTATTTTTAAGATAAATGCAGCTTGATTATACATGGAAGTACTTCCTTTCGAACTCTATATTCTCTGTATTCCCAATCAATAGGATTTAATCAGTTTGCAACAGTAACTTCAGACTTTTAATAAAAAGAGTCTAATGTCATACATATTCTTTCCAACACTAACTTTACCATTCTAGATGTGACACACGACACATAGAGCAATAATGTCAAGTGGGGTCTTTTGTTGTTTGGAGGGATTTTTGTTTCCCAGGAAAAAAAAAGAAACAAAATAATTGTTTAAAAAGTAGGAGTACATTGAAAACAAAACTAAGCTTGCAATCAAAACATCTTATCATTGGGATAGCTATCATTTTCCCCCCAAAGCGAAGCAAGTACTATTGCCAGCATTCCAGATAAAAATCATTGTTAGCAAGATGCTTACCATATTTATTGATGATACTGGGCCAATGCTGTTAACATAAATGTCAACATCAATAACAGTTGGCTTTACTGTGAAAGAAAAACAAAAAGCAATGTTTAAGGCTAGCTTGTGGAAGGCACAGATAATAATTACAGATTCCAGTCTTCATTTAAAACAAAGAACTGCTGATAAACACAGATTATGTATTTTCAAGAATTGGCAAGTTTCCTTTAAATTGTCTTTCAGTTACACTTCCTGTATTTGGACTGCCCGCTGTAAATTACAGCCTGTATCATTCTCTCTTCATGATCTGTTTATTTCAGCAGCAGAATGGTAAACAGGCTTTTGTCATTATATAGAGTGGGCCAAATTCTTAGAGCAGGCTAAATGGCAAAGGGTAGTCCAAACTGACGAAATCAGAAATTTCTTCGAGTACCTTCAAATGAAATGTACTTCTTACTCTCCTTAGGCTTTGTCTAGAAAAGAAAGTTGTACTACTTCTAAGTTAGTTAAAATGATGTAGTTAGATTAGATCAACTTCTTTCTTTCATTTGATTAATTTGATTAATTTGACATTGTGATGAAAATTAACCAAAAGAAACCTAGTTTCAACCAAAGTAAGATTGACTTATCATAACCAGTTCAGATAAACTAGCACTAAAGGCTGCATAGACATACTTTAAGATACATTTATCCAACTTTCTCTTGTAGGCAAGGCTCTCAACACTTCCAGATTTACAGGGCCAGAAACAGATTATGAGGTATACATATCTCCTTTGATTTCTTCTCATTAATATAATCCACCTTCACATTAATTATACTGACTCTGCTGATGCCTACATGAATCTGTGTTGGCGTTATGTGGCTAGAAACCAAGTTGTAAGTCAGGTGGTGCTACTTCAGTGGGGATTGTCTTGATCTTATCTTAACTTGCACTACTTACTTTCATCCTCTTCTAGCTCCTTAGCATTCATATTAGACCAAATTAGATATCAGTAGAGTGATTATTACTATCTCTAAGGGATCTACCTTGGACTTTGCTTTGGAATTTGGTGCAGTCTGGACACTTGGATGTGAACAAATTAAATTTAAAATAAAATATACAAACTTCGTTATTTCATTAGTAATGAAATCAGCAAAATTCCCATTCAGGAGTCTGTAATCAGGATTAAAATAAAAGAATGCCAAAAAAAAAAATCTAAGATGTTACAAAAAATATTAAAATGAACAGGAAGAGTGACCAAAAGAGTACAATCCATTTCCTAATTCATAAAGCAATTTGAGGTCATGAATTCAAATTTGGCTGTAAAAATTGATTTGGAGGGATAAATTCTAAACCTGCCTAAGAAAACAAAAGGAAATCTGAACTCAATTGAACAGGCACATCTGATTAATGCAACTCTAATAGCTGATCATAAAACAGAAGTCTAGCTGCTCCTTAGTAAGGGGACCAGCTTCAAAATGTAATAACACATATAATTTAGGTCCAGAGTAGAAGTGACAAACAAAAAGCGGCAACTGTCTTACCATATCTGTCTGAATCTAAGATATCCCTAAATTCAGGATGACCCCCCCCAATAATTAGATTCTATACATGAAAAATGTATACATTTAATATAATTTTCCATGTATAGAATCTCTGTATTGGAAGATCATCTTAAATTTATCCTCCCAGAGTGGGGGAAGAGGCAATGAGTGGGGCAGTAGGAAAGACAGGCAGTGGGGGAGGCATATGGTAGGGCAGGTGATGGGGGGCAATAAGGATGTAGGCAGTGAAGGTGGGGGGGCAGTAAGGGAGCAGATGGTTGGGGGGGCAGTGGGGGCTGGCAGTAGGGAGTCATGTGGCAGAGGGGCAGGCAGTGTGGAAATAGCAGGGGAGGTATGCAGTTTGTCTCCTGTTGCCTGTCCCCCACCCCCACACTGAGCATCCTCACTTGTGCCTACCCCACACAGCCTCAGGACCCTGCCTCCCTTTTTCTCTCTGTGCTGCTTCTTCCCCCGCAGCCTCAGCTCTCTGCCTCACCTTCTGCCCTTCTTCTTCCCCTCCGAAGTCTGTACCCCTCCCCGCCTTACTGTTGCTATGGCACCAGCAAGCTTTATCCCCTCTGTAGCCTGGGGCACTGAGCTTGGCTCCAGCCTGGCCCTGCAGCAGCAGTGCCAAGTTACTACTACTGTTACAGGGCCAGGCTGGGTCCATGCTGCAGAAGTGGCACAGGGGAAAGACTGGGAACAGCAGGGATCCAATACTGTAGGGAAGGAGTGGCAGGGAGTGCAGAGGCTGTGGGGGCTAGCAGCAGCTGTGGTGCCAGCCCTGACCCAGGGTTGGGGCCAGAGCTGGAACCACAGTAGTTGCCTGCTCCCCACAGCCTCATACTCAATTCTAAGATGAGGGGCTCCTCTCACATACTAAAATCAGTGGTCATCTTTTAATCGACTAAATATGGTATATATACATTCCAGGTGGACAACAAGGCCCTGCAAAGACTTATGTACATGTTCAGCATTGCATGGGGGGAATAGTTTCACTCAAGTCAATAAACCACTCACAGGACATCAAGTTCGGGCATATGATTAAGTCCGTAGGATTAGAGCATAAGTGAGTGACATCAAATGGTGTGAAGCTTTTTTTGTGGTTGCTCTATGGTAATAGATGCACTGTAAGCAATCCATTTTTAATAAACTGAGCAAAGTTCTCTGCTGAATAAATGGACAAAGGACTATGCTCATTTATATAAGAGAAGAATTTGGCTTTCTAAGTCTCCTGGTTATATGTTATCTGGAGCACTGTAGAAGAGGACTGAGAAGAAACCTTTTGGCCTCATGTCAGCAAGTCAGGTTCTAACCTTAGAGATCACCAGTGAATTCTTATATATTCCAAATAAAAACACATCCTAGCAGATGTATAAGTTTAATAGGGCTCAAGAGGATAGAATGCTGCCTTGAACAAGATTTCAGTTTGCCAGGTACTGGCAGGAAATATATAAGTGCCATGTATTGTTCCTACAACTGTTAACAGAAGAGCCAATTATATTTTTGTATTATATTTCTATATATATATATGGTTCCTGTATAACCTAAATCTCTCCTTGATACAAGAAAAAAAAACCCTAAGGTATAGACTTTTAGATTTATCATTGCAGTAAATTTAACACAAGATACCAGATGTAATCTGAAGTTGAAAGGTTCTAGGATTATTGCACTCAAAGTGTATTGTGTTAAGAAAAAGCCAGCTGAGTCTCAATCATTTCTATATGCTACTCCTGTTACACTAATTTGCAAAACTAGAATCATTTTTATGGAAAAGGAAGAAAAAGATACACTAGCAATTATTTCAAAACCTGCTCCATTCTTGCTGCACAATCCAGTGTACACAAATGCACATCTAAATTCTAAGCTGCAGGTGAAGCCTCCTTTCCTCTTTATATGTAAAGAAAAAGTCCATACAGCCATATTGTTTGAGCAGGCAACCAAAATTTCCTTACCTCAGTAAAAGCTGAGAATAAGATCACAAATGGATACCCAATTGCCTGGTGCAGCTTTGTCAGCAGAAATAGCCAAAGATATTTCTAAAGAGCTGTCAAAAACCTTGATAGTGATTAAAGGTTGTCAACAAATAGATCAACTTTCTCAAACTACGTTCTTTGAACTATTGTTTAAAATATGGTAGTTACTTTCACTAAAAGACAATGCACACATGTCCAAATTACAGTATCATTACACTGACATCATTACACTGACATGAATTATTGCTGTCCTCTGATATTTAAGATTAATGAATTACTCATCACAAGTATTTTTTAAAATTTTCAAATACCTTCACATTAGTTAAGAAGGGTAATTATAAAGATCAAAATTGCTACAAACAAAACTGAGGCTGAGTCAGGAAAGTGCTACTATCTGTTTTACAATACCCATTCACAGAGACATTCCTCTCCTGTTTACAGAAATAGAAATCAAGAGTAACTCCACTGGCTTCACTGAAGTAGCACTTATAACCACTGGAAACCTCAAACGGCAGAACAGTCTACAGTATACAGGACAAAGGTGCACCTTACAGTGAAGCGAGCAAGAGCTCGCATCATCAGATGCTGATGAAGGTGCATCTCTACACTGCTTTCTGCCTAACTTCAGATTAACATGACTAACTACCAGTACCTCTGTAGTATGTGGGAATAATTTCCTATTGAAATTCATGGGAGTTTTCCCATCCATCTTACTGGGGTCTAGACCAGCCCCTATATCTATAAAGCTTGAACTAACCTGAGAATCAATTCAGCTGCAGGATTTTTGACTGTCTGTACTTAACCTCAGAGGAAAGCTCAGGGATACTGGATTCTGATCACTTTTTTCTAGTTATGTTATTTTTAAAACTTTTGTCCATTTAAGGTTCTCAAGATTCTTTGGCTACTGACTTATTTTTATCCAACCCATTCCACGAAAGTGAGAATATGGCTAATTGTTTCCTAAAGATAACTACAGAGATACCTGAATCTTCATATTTGAACCTATAGAGACAAAAATCACCATGCTATGCAAAGCTCATCCTAACTATTTACAAGTAAGGCAGACCTCTAATTTGCTAATGTAAAGAGAGCTTGTTGATTTCTTTCATAATCTGCAATTTCAATGAAAAAAGTATTTAAGTCCTTAAAGGTATACCATGATTAACAAATGTCAGCATTCTAAGTGATTCTATTCTTCCTTTGGATTTTGATGGGAATAACATTATGGATCAGTTAAATAATTTTTATTAGAAATAAAAGTTATTAATGACTTCATTTTCACCTTTTTGGAACTAATCATGAGAAAAAATCATGAGATCTGTTCTGTAAATCTGTCTCTGTTCTATACTCCCACTAAATTTTATTTCCTACTAACTTATTTCTGCAAAAAAAATTCTAGCAAGACTGACCCCATGGTAATTTGATATTCTTAGAAATTATTCTGTGATAATATTTTACATTATCTGGTAGTTCAAAGACTAATTAGCACATAAATTGCAATTTTTAGACTATGTGATAAGGTTTAGTTTAAATAATTACTCTGTGATTGAGGGGCAATTACTCCATTGCTATTTACTGACATGACC